TCTAATTAAACCAGTAACTTAATTTAACATTTTTTACGTTGTGTGTAAGATTTCTTCTTTGTCAATCTGTAACCCCCTTGAGATGCAACAGGCATCAAGGTGGGTTTTAAAATGCTATGGCTGGTGTTAGAAGTGGGATTCATGAGACAAATTACCACCATGGTTTGATTGTTAGAAATGGTGCCGGGAAAACAAGGGATGAAACAGTGAGCTAAAGAAGTGTGAGAGGAAACATATGTCATGAGATCACCGGTTTTCTGAGGGAGATGTTTTTGGAAGAAAGTTGCATCAGTGGAATTCACTCACCATACCTTATATCTAGCCTAATAGGACTTGCACATAACTATAAAGGAATGAGTTAAAGGAAAGGTAGCCCAAGTTACAGTTTTCTAGTCTTTACTGTGTTATTCAAGGGTAAAGTAATTGCATATCCCACAAAATGGAAAAATTTGGAAGATAGTGAAGTTATGAGGAATCCCTGAAGCCTTGACTAGATTGGTAGTTACTTTTCAGTCAGAAATTACTTATTTGACAGGGAAAATTAGAACTAAGATATGCTCTAATTTTCCCTGTTGAAGTTGTTAAGAAAGAAAGGGATGAGGATTGGAAGAAAAAAGTGTTACTCTTAACTGTGTCTCCACTTCAACATGTGTTTACAAATCTTGCTATTTTATTTTATTTTATTTCTGATATTATGGGGGTACAAACGTTTTGGTTACACAAAATGCTTTTGTGCAGTTTGAGAGAAAGTTATAAGTTTTTCCATCTCTAAGATACTGTGTATTGTATCTGTTAGGTGTAACTTTACTCATTGCCGCCCCCCCCGACCTGCTTGATTTCCAACTAGTTTTATTTCCATATATGCACATAAGTGTTGTTTAATTAGTTCCAATTTAATGGTGAGTACATATGGTGTTTGTTTTTTTATTCTTATGATATTTAGAAGAATGGTCTCCAGTTCCATCCAGGTAAACCCAAGAGGTATTGGTTCACCATTTTTTTATGGCTGAGTAGTACTCCATGGTATACTTATACCACATTTTATTAATCCACTCATGTATTGATGGGCACTTGGGTTGTTTCCACATCTTTGCAGTTGTGAATTGTGCTGCTATAAACATTTGGGTGCAGGTGCCTTTTTAAAATAAAATGTCCATTTTTCCTTTGGGTAAACACCCAGTAGTGGGATTGCTAAATCAAATGGTAGGTCTACTTTTAGTTCTTTGAGGTATCTCCATACTATTTCCCATAGATGTTGTCCCACCAACAGTGTATAAGTGTTCCTATCTCTCCACATGCACACCATCATTTGTTGTTTTGGAATTTCTTTGATAAAAGCCATTCTCATTGGAGTTAGGTGATATCTCATGGTGTCTTTGACTTGTAATTCTCTGATGATTAGAGATGTCGAGCAGTTTTTCACATGTTTCTAAGCCATTGGTCTATCTTCTTTTGAAAAGTTTCTGTTCATGTCTTTTGCCCACTTTTTAATGGGGTTGTTTGATTTTTTTGCTGATTTTCTTGAGTTCTTTGTAGATTCTGTTTATAAGCCCTTTATCAGATATATAGAATGCATACGTTTTCTCCCATTCTGCAGGTTGTCTATTCACTCTGTTGATTGTTTTATTGGCTGTGCAGAAGCTTTTTCATTTGATCAGGTCCCATTTATTTATTTTGTTGTTACTGTGATTGCTTTGGGGGCCTTCGTCATAAATTCTTTGCCTAGGCTGATGTCTTTAAGAGTTTTTCCAACATTTTCTTCTATAATTCTTATAGTTTCATGCCTTAGATTTGAGTCTGTTATCCATCATGAATTAATTTTCATGAATGGTAAGAGGTGTAGATCCTGTTTTGGTTTTTATATATGTGGCTATCCAATTTTCCCAACACCATTTATCGAATAGGGATTCTTTTCCCCAGTGTATGTTTTTGTCTGCTTTGTCAAAGATCAGATGGCAATATGAGGATGGTTTTATATCTGGGTTCTCTGTTCTGATCCATTGGAAGAACACAACAAAAAATAAAACTACACACCAATATCCCCTATAAATACAGATGCAAAAATTCTCAATAAAATCCTAGCAAACTGAATTCAGCTGCACATCAAAAAATAATCCACCACAACCAGGTGGGCTTCATCCCAGAGATGCAAGGATGGTTCAACTTACGCAAATCTGTAAATGTGATTCATTACATAAATAGAAGCAAAAACAAAGACCATATGATCTCTCAATAGATGCAGAAAAAGCATTTGACAAAAATCAACAAACTTTTATGATAAGAACTCTTAACAAAATAGGCATAGATGAAGCATATCTCAAAATTATAAAAGCCATACATGACAAACCCCTAGCCAACATCATACTGAATGGGGAAAAATTGAGAGCATTCCTTCTTAGAATTGGAACCAGATGAGGTTGCCCACTCTCGCCATTTTTATTCAACATAATGCTGGAAGTCCTAGCCAGAGAAATTAGGCAAGAGAAGGAAATCAAGGTTATCCAAGTGGGGGAAGAAGAGGTCAAACAATTGCTCTTTGCTGATGATATGATCTTATATCTAGAAAAACTCAAAGATTCTGCCAAGAGCCTCCCGGAATTGATAAACAAACTCAGCAAAGTCTCAGGTTACAAAATCAATGTACACAAATGTACACAAATCAGTAGCATTCCTATATGCCAACAACAGTCAAGCTGAGAATCACATCAAAGACTCAATACCGTTCACAACAGCAACAAAGAAAATAAAATACCTAGCAATATATTCAACCAAGGAGGTGAAAGACCTCTACAAGGAGAACTATGAAACTCTGAGGAAGGAAATCACAGAGGATTTAAACAAATGGAAAAACATATCATGCTCATGGATGGCAGAATCAACATTGTTAAAATGCCTATACTACCTAAAGTGATTTACCGATTCAATGCCATCCCCACTAAAATATCAACATAATTTTTCACATATCTAGAAAAAATAATTTTATGCTTTGTAAGGAATCAGAAAAGAGCCTGAATAGCCAAGGCAGCCTTAAGCAAAAAGAACAAATTGGGAGGAATCACTTTAGCAGACTTCAAGCTATACTAATTACAAAGCTATAGTAACCAAAACAGCATGGTACTGGCATTTGCTGTTTTTTTTTTTTTTTTTTTTTTTTTTTTTTAAGACAGAAGCCTTAAAAGGGAGCTGTGAGCCTAAAACTCCAGGCCTTTGGAGCTGGCTGATTGCATTAAGTTTTCACTGGCAGGGCTTCAGAAATTCATTTGTGCTTGAAAAAAATTGTCTTATAAATGAAAAATTAAAAATAATTGAGGAATAAAATTTCAATTGGTAAAAATGTAACAATTTCTTTGTCTCAGACATTATTTTAGGAGGCAGTCACCTGGCTGGATTTGAGCCAGTTGAAATACATTTTGAGACTGGCAACATGCCTAGCATCTCTAAAGCTATGTCTTTGGAAGCACGGTTTTACTCTCTTCAGTTGTTTTAGAAATTAGGCTTTAGGGTAGCTTCAGGGCGGGGAGGGCAGTTGGACTCCTCACTCATTATTTAGTAAAATAATAAAAGATGAGGCAATGTTGTAGGTTAAATACTATTGTAGAAGGTAGTGAGATGTTAAAAACACAGTATTTTAGGAAAGGGAAAATTTGTTGCATTGGAGGAAAAAAGTTAGTAGGCAAACCCCTGGATATAAAGCTAACATGGACAGGGCAGGTTGGGAAAGAAATGAAAGGGTGGGATCAATGTAATGCAAGGAATCAGCACAGTAAGGAACTTGGGACATGGATCCTCATCTGAAATAAGCCAAAGATTGCTCATGGTGCCTGCTAGTGTATGGTATGGACCAGGGATTGCTGGCTTCCCATGTAAGCGACAATAAGATGACATGGGTTGCAATGCCACAAAATATGAAGCAGTGAAATTTCTAGGGACTGTCAGGAGCCATTCTGAAATATACTACTTTATACTACTTATGATATGGGATAGACTATGGAGAAAGGTACTTGTGATCATGGTTCTTGGACTTTATAAACTAAAGAGTACTTAATCAGAGCCAGGGAGTAGACTGTGGAGAAATGGGCTTTTGACATGCTACAACTCTGGGGGTAGGAATTTTGTTAAGAAACATCTGTATATTGACTGTTTTTCTTAACTCAGATTAAAAGGTGGTTTTGAAGATGCTGCACTCAGTTTAAAACCAGAGAAGCAAATTTTTTTTTAATTGACATAAATGCACACATTTATGTAAATGCATAATTTATGCATTGTATTGTCTTCTTGGAGATACATACATATATATATTGATATTTATATATATATATATTTAAATTTTGCAGCAGGGGAATGGTTGCCGTAAGTCCTGAATTCCTAGATAAATAAGAACAATGAAGTAGCAAGGGTTGAGCTTTTCCTTGAAGTCCCACCTTGCACAGATAGTGTCACAGGGCACTTGACAACCCCTGCCAAGTTCTTTGGGGACCAAGAAAAGCTATGTGGAGATATTCTACATATATTCCTGCTTCCATGAGGTTCTAAGTCATTAGTTAATTAAACTGGTAAGGTAATCTTGCCCTATTATGTAAGTTTTAGGTGTGCACGTTCTCTTTGTGTATATCTTCCTGCCAAAGCCTAATCTATCCGAGGTACACGCATTCTGGTTTCTCTTTGTCTTGGATATGGGGAGGGAGGCAGCACCCTCTCTCTGGGCTCAGCAAATCACCAGCCCCTTAACTTACTCTTCTTCCCATAATCAGATCTGGACCCACTAAAAGAGCCCTAAGATTATTGTCTGTTTTGTGATGAAAGGAGAATGAAAGATCCAGGACAGCAGGCCCAACATCCACCTTGAGAAGGGCCTTGATGAACCATTCCTTTGCTATATCAGTTTTATTCCTCATTTCTCTGACCTAGCTCTTGTGATCTTGGACCAAGTTTCCATCTTTGAATAGTTCTGATTCCAGGGGGAATTTATTATGGACACCAAAGTGCAAGGAGTCTCCTACCAGATGCCAAGAGATCATTGATGAGCACGAGGAACCTCTCATCAGCCACTTGGGCGTCCGTCATGAGAAACACTGTGCGGAGGTTCTTTACCCCGGCTTTCAGACACAGGCTGGCCAGGTCCACCTGCAGGAACAACCAATATCAGAGATCACTGAGAAGAAGGCCTCCTTGAAAGAGAATCCCCAACCCACTCTCTAGGAATGGAACTATTTTCTTATCAACTTCAATGGGAAATACAGCAAAGTGACAGTGCAAGGCAGGGAGGAGTGCTCTGCAGCGCTGATAGGCAGGAAACTACACTTTGTTTCCAGGCCTCATTGCCAATAGAGGTGGGCAAGTTAAACTACACAGTGATGGCCTTTAATCCATCCAACCGCAATGGCTCTTGCACTAGCTTTTGGAGTGCCTGCTTCGTGCAAAGAGGTTACAGATTTTCAAAGGCCAGGAGTGGTCTCTTACTCATCCTTTTTACTTATATCCTCATACAAGCGAAAGACCTGCTTCAGAAGGCAAGTGCTTGCTCTTGGTCTTGACTGAAGAGATGAATGTATCTTATGGTAACAGTGTCTTGTGTTTTTATGACTAGCTCCAGAAAAAGACTTTTGTTGAAAAAATACATTGGGGACATACACACACACAGCACACACAATCACCCACAGGAAATCACATCCATTCAAAACTGCGGGTGGATGAAGTTTGGGGCTAGAATGCCAAGCTTGGTCAATCTTGGTTCTTTTGCAGTATGACCCTTGCCAGACTCAGCTATCAGTCCCTTAGGTTGCTCCTCTCTCTTTAGCACCACTAGGCTATTCCCTAAGAGCATCATACATTCCTTTACCACAGAGCTAGCTCAGTGTCCAAGTAACTCCCCTTTAAAGATATCAATCTTCCTGTTAGATCAGTGGTTCCCATCTTAGGCTTTTACAGAATGATCTAAGACAGCGTTTCTCAATTCTCATTAGAATCATCTGGAGAATGCTTTGAAAAATTGTGGTCCCCAGACCATGCCCCAGACCAGTTAAATCAGAATATCTGGATGTGGAACACATGCATTACCATTATTCAAAGATTCCCAGTGATTCCAGTATATAGCCAAGGTAGAGACCCGCCGTCTCAGATCATTCTGTAAATGCATAATTTCTATGACACTATCTTGTCTTTTTTGGAAGTGCTAAAGAAAGACCTAATGTGAACTTGATGTATGACTTTAGATGTAGCCAGTCATCGAGAGGCTGAGCTGTGGTTTCAGAGCTGCAGTGAGCACCTACCTCTCCTATCAGGCCGGGAGATTATGAGGGCAGGTGGGTGGGCCTGGCTCAGTGCTGGCCGGAGTTCTCCCAGCAACAGCAAGAGCAGCATCCTGATAGAACTTACACTGTAGCTTCCTACCGTGACTGTTGTGGCCATGGAGAAAAGGGAGGGCACTGGACAAAATGACCTTTCAAGGCTGTATGCAAGGTCTTTCTTCACTTTTCAGAGCATGTATCGGTATTCCTAAGTGTCTGCTGTCTGAAACCAGGAAATGTCACTCAAGGTCTCAGGGGCCTGTGGTTACTGAACCCATCTTTTAAAATATGAATGTCTTATGAAACTTGAGCAGGCCTTTGGAATTCCTCCTAAGTCTACTAGAGCTTCTGGCAAGCTGTGTGTGAATGTGATATAGATGTGCTTCTGATCGGGGGAAGAGCTGAGGCCCCACAGACGTAATTAGGGCAGCTAAGGTCTCACCAAGGCAGACCTTGGAAAAGTCAACGGTTCTCAGGCCAAGTCTAACAAGAAAAGAGCCACTCATGTCACAGCCCAGAATCTAAGAAGAAAATGGGCAGACGATGAAGGGGAGGTTCTGGGCAGGGGACTTGGAGAACTGACCAAGGACGACAGGGAGTTGTGTGTGGTTGGAGGGAGGCTGTGTCTCCTCCCACAGCTGCCCGGCCTTCTCACCTTGAAGTCGGCGATCTGATAGCCTTTGCGCAGTGTGATCTGGAATACGTCCATGGAGCTGATGAAAGCGGCAAGCCTGGTCAGACTCTGCTTGCCGCTCCCACCTACGCCAACCAGCAGCGCATTTCCCCGTGGGGACTCCAAGATGCGATTGATGTGGCAGCTAGAGGGGAGGAAGCACAGGCATGTCGCGTGATCAGACTCACGGCGGTGAGAAGCAGGGATAGAAGTCTGCGTGGGAACAGGAGCCTTCCTTGCAGGTGCGTCCCAGGTGGAGCTGTGGGAAACTTTAACTTGATTGTCCTCAGATTTGGCCTTATCTTCTTGCCCAAGTGGAGTGAGTCACTGATGCTTTGCCTTAAACCACAGCCTCCAGCGACCCAGTGACAGCGGGGGGAGGGCCCGTGGCAGGCAGGCACCTTGGGGAGGGTGATTGTGATGGGGAGAGGACCCAAGATGCCCTCGCTCTACTCCCTGGCCACGCCTGACTCTGCCACCCCTCCCACCGCACTGCTTTTGGGCGAGAAGAAGGGATGGAAAAAGAGAAAAGTAGATACAGTAAGAAAAAAGAATTGGGGAAGCCTAGAGGACAAGGCAAGAAAAGTTTGTTCCTCTTAGGAAAGAGGGGAGCAAGGGCAAAGTCAGCAGGGGGCGGACAGGGATCCCTGACATAGCTCTTGTCTCTCCCTCCCTCAACCCTTCCCGGACAACGATACCCTTTGTGAGAGTATTTGTGGATTCTTATTGTCAACACACAAGACACTCGCTACTCTGGCGTTCCCTGGGCAGCCTTGTGTCCACTCTCATATTCCCATTCCCACCCCCAGCAGTGGGGTCTATTCCCGGCCTCATTCCCTCCAGGGGAAACCACCCCTCCTGCCCCTCCAGCTCTTCCTAAAGTTTCACCCTCCCTCGGGCTGCTCACAGGCTCTCCTCCGGGGAGCTCTGCCAATCTTTTCCTCACACTTGATCCCAGCCAAAAGGTCAAGAAGTGATTGCCAATCTATTCTTTAACCCCTCTCAACAGTGTGTATACCTTATGTAAGGTGTGACATTCTTCATAAAAATAAGCCCCATTCCCTTTTCATTTCTCATCTTAAAAACAATGGCTACGCATTGTACAACACACACAAAATACATAAAAATCCATAATTCTACTATCTAGCAATAAACAGCATTGACATTAATCATATGTTCTTCCAGACTTTTTTCCTAGTGTCTGTCTGTATGTGTATAAACTTATATTTATCTGTATAAACATTTATTACACCCGAAAAGTCGATATATTTATATCCTGTCTATTTTAAAAATTGAGTACACCTTGTACGCTGTGTTTTGAAATAATTTTGTTGTTTAGCAATGTACTGTGATTATCACGCCATTAAATAACTGGCTAAATAAACCATGCTTTTGATGGCAGACTGATATTGTATAAAATATGAACATTGTATTGATAATAAAATAGAATAAGTTGCTTGTCTGCAATAGACTATTGTTGGATTCAGGTTGTTTCCAACATTTCCCAGTTAGAAATAATGATATATAATTTCTTTGTTTGTATCTCTAATTATTTCCTCAGGATAAGTTCCTAAAAGTGAAATTGCTTAGTCAAACAGCAAGACAGTTTTTAGGGCTTTGAGACATACTGAAAAACTGCCCCTGCGAAATGGTGGTTCCAATTTGTACTCTTCTTAGGTAGAATTGATCAAAAGTTGAGCCTGTTATATTGGAGGATGAGAATATGTTGGATTATGTCAGTTGAATTAGAATGCGTTAAGTCTGTGAATTTAGGAACATATGACACAGTGATCAGGCTGCTGTGGAGAAATGGATGCAGAAGAAGAGACAGTGTTGGTGATCTTGGGGACCAAAAGTGTGAGAGCAAGAATTCGGGATAGAGCAGAGGATACATTTGAGACTGAATTGCACAGGCTACAGTCTTGTATCCCTGTCTTGTGTTAGTGATATAATCAGAAATGCCATAGTCAAAGTAAGTAAGGGTGGAGCAATGTAAGGTCTAGCTAGCCCCAGTTTGGAGGAAGGGCTGGGCAGGAGTTGTGGCAGGTGGGGTTTGATATGTTAACAAAATGCAAGTGGTTTTGTGTTGTGCTTCTGTGGTTTGAATTTTCTTATTTCTGCACATTTCTTCCATATATTGATAACTTTGTTTGTGGGTCTTTATTGCCTCATTTCTCCTACAGTATGCTTTTGCCGTTGGCAAAGAACCCCTAGCAGAAGTGTATATGAGATTTACTGAGAAAAACTTCCCTGGTATCACCCGAGATTCAGACATACAGATACAAGATGGTCATCAAATCCTAGGAAGATTCATAGCAAATAGGACATCTCCAAGACACATGGTAATCAACCTGGCCAAAGTCAAAATGAAGGAGAAAGTTCTGCAAGCAGCAAGAAGAAAGCAACAACTAACGTACAAAGGAAAACCCATCAGGCTAACAGCAGACTTCTCAGTGGAAACATTACAAGCCAGAAGGGACTGGGGCCCCATCTTCAATCTTCTAAACAGAACAGCAGCCAGCCTAGAATTTCGTATCCTGCAAAATTAAGTTTCACAACTGATGGAGAAATTAAGTCTTTTCTAGACAAGCAAACACTTAGGGAATTTGCCATGAGCAGACCTGCCCTGCAGGGAATACTGAGAACTGCATTATATATGAATCAGCACAGTGGATACCCACCAGTGTAAAATCACCCCCAAAACCCATAAAACTCTCAACTCTTATAAAACAACAGCACAAGAAGGAAAACAAAGCAATAAGGTACTATCCAACGTGATGAACAGATCAACATTCCACATATCAATTCTACCAGTCAATGTTAACGGTCTGAATGCTCCTCTCAGAAGACATAGGCTGGGGGAGAGTCAAAGCATCCTGGAGGGAAGGAAGGGTTTCAGATAAAGGGTAAAGGAGAATGGGCACAGCTCGGCTGTAGTTCAGAAGAATAAATACCAGAGGCTGTCAGGAACCTCACAGAGAGAAATTGGGAAGCAGAACAGGAAAAGGAAAAAGAAAAAAAGATATTGGCTAGGATCTGACCCAGAGAGGCTCAGAACACAGTGAAGGGGTAAGGGAGGGGAATCTTGTTTCTCCTTCTCATACACCTTTGGTAATTAGCAGGCTGTTGAGTTGTATGGAAGCTTTTCCACCCTTACAAAGCCAAGTGCTGCTGCAACCACTGAATTGGGTGGAGAACTAGCAGGATCCCAGAGCATGGACATTTGTGCAGGCTTCCTCCCAGGGAGAGGGACTGGAGGAGCCAGGGTCCCAGCTATCTTCCATTCAGACTCTTTCCTCCCCCCTTGTCCCCCGCCCATCACAGATGGGAGGGCAGACTGAGATTTTTATGAGCAACCACCCCTCATCAGCTGCAGTGTCCTCCAGTATGAGGTTTCCACAGAGAGTGGGGCCCACACCTGCCCCCTTGACAACTTGCAGTGGACCCAGTTGTGCCCAGTCTAGGAGTTCCCTGCCTGCCAGCTTTCCCCAGAGACACATGCCAGTGGGTCAGACATGCAGGCTGGATCTCATGCCCCCAAGATTAAACTGGGTTGCTAGGGGGCACAAGAGAGGATTTGAAAGCTTGATTTGGGAGGCGAGGGAGCCCACGTGGGCAGAACTGATGGGAGAGTACAGTGAGGATCTGAGCTGTGAAGATCTGGTGGAGCGCCTACCCACCCAACACAGGAAAGTCATGCTGTCAGACTAGGGCAGGTCCCCCGGAGAGAAGTTCCCAGCCCATGGCACCCTTGCGGCTGAGCACGGCACATTCGGTCTGCAAACAGACCCTGAAGGGAGACTCTTGGGGCAGGGGTAGGGAGAGAGGGGTGGAGCCCACTCTGACAGCCAGTCAGTGAGTTACAGATGGTTCCTCCCCCACGAACAATCTTTCCAGTTTGAAAAAGCTGCATGGGCCCTTCTCCAGTGGCTTTTCCCAGGGGCCTGAGATACAACCTTTCAGCCCTGCCGAGACTTTGCAGAGGGTTCCAGGCTTGCCCAGCTTAACCTCGCCCAGCCTCACTCCTCCACTCACCTCTGTTGTGGTGGAGAACAAGCAATCTCCTGGAAGCTGCAGGGCCCCTCATGCTGCCTGGGGCATTGAAGTACCTCTTCCAAAGGGCTAACGCCTATCACAGGCACAAAGAACATCTCTGAAGTTAGCTCTTTCCTGCAGGCATCAACCACTGACGGGCAGAACAACTGTACATAGCTCATTACGGCATCTACTGACTCAGTCAAACAGGGCGTGGTCTATTCTTACAAGCACCACCCACTGACTCAGAGATTAAGCTGGGGATCCCAATACAATTTACACTGCTGGGAAGAGGGGAAAACAGCAGACTAGAAGCAACCAAGGAAGCACCACTTTATAGGAGAGGAATAAAAGTTACAGGCAGCTTGAGCTACAGTGGGTCTCCCTCCTCCACTGCAGGCCACTGGGCTGTTTGGGGAGCTGCTCAGAGTCTATACAGAGACACTGCACCAGAGAGCAGGTGTAGGAGAGACCTGGTGACTGCCAATCCTAGGTTTCTGCAACCAACACCATCCTGATCACTCTGGTGCAAGGAGCCAAGTCTGCTTGGAACTCAGCCTTCCAGCAGTAGCCTTGGCATCACACCCCCTAGGCCAGGGAGGGAGGAGACAGAACAAAAGCTCCCCTGTGTCATGCTCTGTGACTAGGGGCTGAGCACACTTCCTCCCCTGTGTGGGATCTGAGCAGAAGAGGAATCTCAGATGCCACAGGCACCACATGGGAAATCTTGGGCAACTGCCTCAGTGGGCCCTAGATGTGGGGGGGAGAATTGTGGCCAATCAGCAGCTCTGGCCCTTCCGCACAGTTTCTGGGCCACTGAGACAAACCCCTGCCTGTGTGACTGGGCATCAGCAGTCTCCACGCTGGCAGAACAGCCATCCATATGTGAAGCTCTGTCCCTGTAATCCCCAGAATCAGCTGTGAATCTCTCACTGCACCTGAGCCCAAGGCTCTGTGCCACCCCCAAGAGTCCAAAGTTGAGCCTAGGCTCGAAGACACTACCTCTGAGTCTTCATCACTGCCACCTGGCTGGTGGAACCTCCTCAAGGACCAATGCTTCACCCAGGACCCCCCAGCCCTGAGCAGACATTACTCCTAGACCTGGTTTGT